AGATACAGCAGGGGCAGTATTGGACCAATACAAGGCTCCATTGACCCCCATTATAAATTATTAAACATTAGTATTTCCAAAAATATAAATTGTACAGGCACCAAAGGTCATAGACATCATTTGGCACAGGAGCTTTACAAATATGAATTACAATGGCAGCTCTAAGACAAAGTATGCAAGAGGAGAAGCATGCCAAAGTGGAGATTACTTGGATGAGAAACGAATCACAATAGTGTGCATTGCCAATGCACACTGATGAAAGGTAGTAGAAAGAAGAAAAAAAATCTTAATATCTGCCCCTTATTTCAAAAAAATAAATCAATTCAAACAATAATAGTCTTATAATAACACATAACAAAACTCCCAACTTCTTCTCGAACAACAGTTCTTATGAATGCACATTATACATATTCATATTTCTTCAACAATCTAACTTTATACTATATAATTGAATATGTTGCATGCACATAGTAACCATTAGTTATGTTTGGTTGGGTTGCTTTGGTCATTTCAGGCAATTGCAGGTGAGATAAAGACAAACCTTCTGAGTTCTAGTTTATTTAAACTTATACTAATAAAAAAATTTGTTAAAGACCTGGAGCAAAGGATGCAAGGTACAGGATGAGGCCCAGCAGAACAATCCAGGAGTAGGACGTAGGACAGTAATTATAAGCCCAAATAGGGCCATCACTTTCTTCTGTATTATTAAAACACCTGGATGGAAAAATTAATCACAATGAAAATATATCGTTCTAATTCAATTTAATTTAAATTGTAAAAGAGACAAATGTTCCAACGACATTTCATTTACAGAAATAAACATAAAAAGCATGCAATTATATTTTAGAAAAATGCAATTCTACTTTTCTTTTTTTTTTAATAGCGGACTAATATTCAGAATACTTTCTGACCTTCCCCAGGCTGCATGATCAGTAGACGCCTGACTGACAGGAACGCAGGAGGACTCAGACACTGTGGTTCCATTTTCACGAAAACAAAACCCACAATATGGATCCAACATGCACAAGTCACAGGAGCTGCAGGGAGGAGGAAGAAGGAAAAGCACCACACAGGAATGAGCCATAAACTCATGCAACTAACTCAACTCTTTTGGCAGATTGGAAATAATTAGAGTTTTGTTGAAAAAATATAAATATTTACTATTTTCCCTGTTCTAGATGGTTCTAGAACTTGAGCTGAATTTCTTACAATAGTTCAGCCAAGACTAAATTCCGTTACCATCATCGTAAAACAGCTTCACTCTCATAACTTTTATTGCATCTCCTGCAGCCCAGGGTCAAAGTTTTATTGACCTCAGGCTGTCCACCATTAACTGCTGCTGCTCTGTTTGCCCTGGCAGTACCATAGATTTCTGTGCAAACAACAGTATGAACAAACTGACAGCAGTGTAAAAGTTTGTAAAACAGTGTTTACCTCTGTTAATCTTTATTTAAGCAGGCAAATCCCCATGAGATCAAAGCTTTTTTAGCAAGGGAGGCTTGGGCCTAAAGGCAACCTAACGTGCATGTTTTTGGTCTGTGAGAGGAAACCAGAGTACAGCCCATGCAAACGTGAAGAGAGCATGCAAACTCCACCTGACCTGAGAATCGAACCCAAGACCTTCTTCCTGTGCAGCCCCACAGAATGGCTTCAGACTGTCCCGACAGTGCCCCCTAGTGGGTTCCCAGTGCCATATACGTTGGAATATAACAATCTGCTACCACCGGAGTCGGGTCTACTTTATCGTAGCCCGTGTCATTTTCTCTAAAATTAACCTTAGTGGCTTTATGCCTCATATTAACCAGATTGCATGTGTAGTGAATACATCCATTTCCCCTCACCTCATCTTGCCATTGACTGACCTTTGACCACCTGAAGTCAAAGCGCCTCTCACAGACTGAACTCTCTTCCAGCTCTCATGTAGAGCTGTTAAAAAAAAAAAAAAAGTCTTTCGCTGTCCACTTTTCTCTTGGGAAAAGCTCGTGTTCTCAAGAAGTCTGTTGTTTTGTTGATAAACAAGTCAAAACAAATGTTCTATTTGTTTCTGCTGTTTCTTTCACACGGATCATTCAAATGCTTAAACCCCTTTAAAATGTATGGCTTTGTCATTAATTTCGAAGGGCTCTTTAGTTATTTTATAGCTATGCATTTGCTGTGATTATGATGTTTAGATCATGGTTAGAAAATGTGATTTAGTATTAACAGAATATGTTTGCTTTAATAAGTGCTTATTTGAAATATTAGTTCAATGTTTCTCTGAAGAGTGATTTACTAGGCTTAGAAATGTTCGTGTGTCGTTTTGCTGATAACCTTGGGTCTACACCAACACAAAGACACATACAGGCTTCTCATGAGAAGCCTCCTTACACCCAGACACCTGCAAGATAACACCACTGGACACAGTTCTTCCTGTTTCTTAAAACTGTCTGTTTTCTTCCTGTTCGTCAGTCTGTGTTGTCTCTGTCCTCTGCTACCAAGCAGGGAGCTGGGCGCCTTGCCAGCTCTCTTTTCCTAGTTCCTTCAATAGGAACTTTTAAATTTTTTTCCTGCAGCATCATTTTCTACCTTTTTACAAGGAAATACCACTTTTTTTCCTGTCAGGCCGTCACGCCTGAAATCTGGAACGTCAACCAACATCCTGCAGCTGTGAGCCGCTCCTCAGAGCTGCCTGGTCGACTTGTTGCTTTGCCGAAAGACCACGTCCCTGAGAAGAGCTTGTTCCACTCGTCTGATCCAGACACAGACCTCTGTGCTCGCTGAACAACAGACGTCCACCAGAGCTACGTCTGATCCTATGTGGAAGTGTTCCCAGAAAACGGTAATGGCTGAAAGCTCATCTGTCCCAGGCCTAAAGCTCACAGCAAAATAAAACAGAGTCTAACTTTAAGAAAATCCTTCAGAAATCAAAAAGAAAAAAATATTATAGGTCTTCTGGACGGGTTCTTCTCTAATGAAACGTTTCGTCTCTCCTCCAAGAGACTTCTTCAGTCTGAGAGTTTCRGGCAAAATTCAGGCTTTTAAGCACTGCCTCCATGTGACTGATACATCACATGGCTATCGTTGACACCTAATTAACACCTATTGTTAACAGGGGGTGGAGTGGTACTGGCAATAGCAGCGCTGTAGGAGGGGGACAACTGAAAACGGAGGCCTCCACCTCTGTTTAATGATGGACGGTCTTTCTTCACAAAAATGGCTTCTTTTACTCCTCTCTCAAACCAACGTTCCTCTCTATCAAGAATGAGAACATCCTCATCTCTGAAAGAGTGACCGCTGGCCTGTAAATGAGTGAAAACTGCGGAGTTCTGGCCATTAGATGTAGCTCGTCTGTGTTGGGACATTCTTTTGAACAGTGGCTGCTTTGTTTCCCCGAAGTATCACTGGTCACAGTCCTCCTGGCACTTAACAGCATATACAACATTGCTCTGTTTGTGCCGGGGCACCGGATCTTTGGGGTGAACCAGCCTTTGCCGTAATGTGTTTTGGGGTTTGAAAGCCACTGGGACATCATGTTTAGAAAACAAACGTCTCAGTAATTTAAAGATTTTCAGAAATCTTTAAAAGATATATCTGTCTTATTTGTTTGTCTGTCTAATCTGTCTCTCCCATCTACCTTTCTTTCTCTCTCTCTCTGCTCTCCCACCTGAACCAAATACACTCAAACACTCTCACACATACATTGACCCAAAATGTATATAAATTAATCTGCTTTTGCTTAGATAAATTGTTAGACAGTTGCTTAAAAATTAGAAACAATAACGTTTTAGTAAGAGACCGTTTGCATTGTTCATGGTATGTAACTACAAATGTTAATCACATATTAATTTTGCTCCAACAGTTCCATTTTGAGCCAGGAAGGGAAACTCTCATTAAAAATCATATTTAATGGTTTTTAATAGGGGGGTTCCGCTACACATAAAAAACCTTAGTGGTTTTATGCCTCATATTAACCAGATTGCATAAAAAACCTTAGTGGCTTTATGCCTCATACTAACCAGCTGACAGTCTGAGGCCATTCTATGGGACGGAAAACCCACTAGGCGGCTCAGTCGGGACAGTCTGAAGCCATTGTATGGGACTGATAACAGCTAATAACGTCCATTTAATGGATGACAACATCCGAAGCGGGTATCCTGTGAGGCATCAGTGCTTACCACTTAGACGACACACAAACATCAAACGCTATAAAGGTTTTAAGACTCAAGTATGGTCTTGGCTGTGTTCGGATTTACTGGATTAGCTCAAAAACAAACTCTAGTTCTCCAAATTGAGGTCATTCAAAGAGCTATCTACAACAGATAAGACTTTGTATTATGTTCAGAATTTTTCCACAGAACCTCACTTCAGCATCTCCTTTTAGGCTTTTGATGAATGCTAACAAACATAGCTTCTAAATCAAAAAATCACGAGTCTATGATGATCAGTTTGATAAATGCTTAAACTTTCAAAAATCTAAAATGAAGGGATTTTTTTAAGTCTACTATCAGGACTACTCACTTCTACTCTCTTTTTTTCCCCAAAACGAAAAAGGTAAAATAAGTGCAAGTTTAGTCTGTTCATGAAATTAAAGATGACAACTTGTGATGAAACTCAACGAGCCCAGAGGAGATGCTTGAAGAGTGACGCTGCAGAAAGCTCAAAACAAACTGTGGGAGTTTTTGGACCAAATGTGGTATAAATGTGAGAATTAACATTTTTTATAGCACGTGACCGATCAAAAAGGCACAACACATGATATGTACATTTCGGACAGGAAGATATGCTGCCTACAATAAGGTGGTGAAAAGGTGAAAATGAAAATGGCCTGCTTCACGAGTTTCAGTGCTTTACCTGTAAAGTCTGCAGGTTGAATTGTGAGGGTCGACAGGGTGGAAGGTAACAGGTGGAGAGTTTTGGGCGGACAGGAGGAACCCAACTGCCAACAGAGTTAAACTCAGACCAGTGCCTGGAATAAAAGAACAAAAAGTCATTACTTAAAGAAGGAAGAACACATTAACCAAGGTCAACCATCAACCAAGATTTTGTACAACCATAGTGAGAGAGAGAGAGAGAGAGAGAGAGAGAGAGAGAGAGAGAGAGAGAGAGAGAGAGAGAGAGAG